GTAATTCGCAGGTACTAGGCGCTGCAGGCGTGATCCTGTAGGAGGCAGAGAGCTGAGCTGGATCATAGCTCCTGGTGCCCAAGACCTGGTACCCAAACCCGACCTGTCTCTGTCTCTGTCTCTGTCTCTCCCTCTTTCTCTCTTTCTCTCTCTTCTCTTTCTCTTCCTTCTTTTTTTCTTCTCTCTCTCTCTTTTTCTCTCTCTCTCTCTCTCTCTCTCTCCCTCCCTCCCTCTTTCTCTCATCTCCTTGCGCAGGAATGCACAAGAGTGTGGTGTGAATGCAAAACCCGCTTGCAGCCACACTCCAGCTGCAGGGCGGCACTGCTGCGACCCTGCGCTCCGAGCAGAACCCAGGATTTACCAGTAGCACCTCGCTGGTGGTACTTCAGATTGTTAAACCAGCCGTCAAAGCGCTGCACTTCCCAGGGCAGTGAGGGTGCATCCTGGCTCCCTGTGGGAGCAGAGAGCCTTCAACTTGGCACTAACCTCCCAGAGACCCTTCCTCAGATGGCGAAGTCCTCCCAACCAACTCTATTCCCAATCCTTCCACGGAGCTGGAGGACTCAGGATGAGTCTTCGTCTCACAAATCCGATCGGAGATGGAGATGGACCAGCCAGCCCTTCCAGCTTCCAAGACCAACTGACTTCTCCCTTTCCCACCCTCATGGGACTTTGGGTGACCCCTCTCAGCTAGAGGTCCCTTCTACTTACCTGCTGGACCCAGGGGTCCAGTCAGCAGAGCACCCAGGAGCACTAGTGTCTTGGGGCTTGCTGGAAGCATGCTGTCCCTGCAGCCTGGGGGTAGGAGGTAGTACACACCCCTACAGCTGGTGCTGGAAGAGGACGGCAGAAGCATTACTCAGGTCCGACATCTTCATGACGCTCTTTCTGGGACAACCTGGGAGATTATTGAGATTGCCCCCCCCCCAGCCCTGACAGAGTGCTGATTTCAATCGCAGGAACTCCTTTAGAGTCCTTTAGAGTGTCTGGAGCAGCATTGTTTCAGTTCCTCTGGGCTTTGCTCTAAAACCTGGTACTCTCATTCCAATTTCCCACATACTGCTTCTCCAGGATGAGGCAGGAGAGTGGGAGAAGCTAATGAACTGAGAGCCAGGGGCCCCCGCATTCAACCCCACTCTTATCTGCAGTGAATGCCTGCGGAAAAAGGAGAGGGCTAGGAGGACCCAACCTTTGGTGGAAGGCTCTGGTCCGTTTCAATCGGCTTCTGTGTTCTTGGAGGCTTTCTTTCTTTGCTCTGCTTCCCGCACTCCACCTTCGCAGCTCCGAGAATCTTCACGCTTCCTGGATGTACTTTCAACCTTCACTCTGGATCCCGTCTCGCAGTTGTGAGCTCACGCCACGGCAGCGGCAGGTGTGAGTGTGTGGACCAGAGGTTTGGCCTCCAGTTAAGAAGGGTTGCCGTTATTTGCATGTCCCCGCCCCGCGCTTGATCTCAGCTGGACCGGACCCTGCCACCTAATTGGGACACCTCCCCTGCTTGCTGCCCACGCTCCTATAAAAGGGGGTCTGCCTTTCTTTGCAAACGCGGTGCAACCCTGCCAAGTCAGGAAGAGCTTCGGAATTCTCTGTGCTTCTTAGGAGAGCCGCGGGTCTCAGACATTCTTTTACTCACACCAGTTCGCAAACTTCTCTCAGAATGACTGCGTGGGACGGGGTGATGCCCTTTTACCCCCAACCCAGGCACCCCGCGGGCTTCAGCGTCCCGCTGCTCATTGTCATCCTGGTATTCTCGTGCTTAGCGGTCAGCTTCCTGCTCATCTTGCCTGGGATCCGTGGCCACTCGGTAAGGGGGTACTGAAAGTTCTTCTTAGGGGGGTTCTAGAAGCTCATGTTGTGGGGTGAGAGAGCTATACGGAAAGCATTTCTCGGAGATTTAGGGCAGACAAGAATAAGGAAGATTCTTCATAAATAGTTGAGTTGAGGATCAGCAGGAACAAATTTGAGAAGTCTGGTTGGGCAAAGGACTCTTCACAAGGAGAGGGACAGTTCCTGGTTCAGGACTTGGGGGAAAAGACTCCAAGCACCTTATTTTGGAGGCTGCTGCAGAAAGTGAGAACCAGCCCAGTAGTCGAGGCTTCAGGTGCTGCCTGGACCTCCCACCTCTCTTTGAACCTTCTTACCAAGAGGATGGGGACTGGCAATTTAGACTGTGTGTTCCTTACCGATAGACTCAGAGGGTTCCACAGGGTGTCCAAACTTGTAGCAAGTTTGGCAGTTCCCTTAAATGCTCCCAGCCCCCATATCCTAAACTGTCTTTTTTTTTTTCCAAGTCTGAAAAAACCTCTAGTCTTTCTGTGTTGATCTTTTTGCCGGTTTGGGAGAACTGGCTCATCTAGAAATAGCCACTGTTCCTCTCCTTTTGTTGGCCACCAGGTCCTGGGGCCTCCCTCTTCTGGGAGAGGTGACCCTTGTCTGCCTGGCACTTCTGAACTCACTGAGCCTCACCAAGCAGTGACTGAACTAGAAGTAATGAACAGGAGCCAGACAGCTGGGGGTAAAAAGGCGGCCAGAGAGTGCCAGGCAAGGTGGACCTGAAAACAGGGTCAGAAATGCAAGCAAGGCTGGGGTGGAGTGGGGTCAAGGCAGATCTTGAGGACGGACTGGGCAGTACCCAGTCTTGACCTGAGTGTCTGACTCTTCCCACAGCGCTGGTTCTGGTTGGTGAGAGTTCTCCTTAGTCTGTTCATCGGTGCAGAAATTGTGGGTGAGTGTATGGGGAAAGAGTTGAGAGGGCACCGAGAAATGGGGAGCCAGCTTGGTTTCCTGGGCTCCCTTCCATTCTGCACCTATTTCGGGCACCCCTGTCTGTTCTTTTGCTGTGGATGCTTTGTTTTGAGACTGCCTTTCACTATATAGTCTAGGCTGACCTTGATGAAAGCTTACTTGCCCTGGTACCCCCTACCCCCATCCCGTCCCCGCCGCCTCCACCATTGCTCTTGGCCAATGCCCACTTTCCTAACCTTGCCTTGCTGTTACACCAGGTCCTAAGCCTTCATCTTTCTGCCCCACCTCCCATCACCGCTTCCCACTGTCACCCATCCCCGCAAGTTACTGTGTGCATCTCTCTACAGCTGTGCACTTCAGCGGAGACTGGTTCGTGGGGGGAGTGTGGACCAATACATCCTACAAAGCCTTCAGCACAGCCCGTGTTCAAGTCCACGTCGGTCTGCATGTGGGACTGGTGGGCGTCAATATTACACTCAGAGGTGAGGAGGCTGGGGCCAAGTGAGTTCTTGGGGCTGGGAGAGCCCATGGAGCTGAGTGTCAAGAGTTGTTAGAGGATCTTCTACATCCTTCCGGCTCAGAAAGCCTCTGATTGACGTGGATCTGGGTTTTCCCCCAACTACTACCTAATCTTTCTCTTTCCTGCCAATTGCCCCACCCTTATCTCCCTAACTGAACGTGTTCAGTTTCCGGGTCTCTGGCCTTGACCCCACGGCTTCCCTGCAGGAACACCCGTGCAGCAGTTGAATGAGACCATTGACTACAATGAGCGGTTCACTTGGCGTCTGCACGAAGACTACACCAAGGAGTACGCTGATGCCCTGGAGAAGGGACTGCCGGACCCAGTGCTATACCTGGCAGAGAAGTTTACACCCAACAGCCCTTGCGGGCTGTACCACCAGTATCACCTGGCAGGACACTATGCTTCAGCAACGCTGTGGTGAGCGTGTGGTGGGTGGGGAGTGGGCAGGGTGCGTGCGACCCGGAGAGCGCGGCCTCGGGAGTTGCAGGTTGGAACCTGCAGCCTCGTGGGCAGGATCGTCTGGCGATCTGCAAAAATCAAGGGAATCCCAGCCACGGCAAGAGCGCAGGAGCCGGCTCTCTCCGGGGTTGCCCTGCGCCTCCTGCAGGCCTGGCCAGGGAACCCGGCTCATTGACGCGCTGCCTCGGTCCCTCACAGGGTGGCGTTCTGCTTCTGGATCATCGCCAACGCGCTGCTGTCCATGCCCGCCCCGCTCTACGGCGGCCTGGCCCTGCTCAGCACCAGCGCCTTCACGCTCTTTGGCGTCTTCGCCTTCGCCTCGATCTCCAGCGTGCCACTCTGCCCCTTCCGCCTGGGTTCCGCCGCCCTCACGCCTCACTACGGAGCCTCCTTTTGGGTCACGCTGGCCACCGGTGGGTACCAAGGGATGCTCACCTGGTGGTGACCGGGATATGTAAAGGATGTGCGCTATCCAGCGTATAGAATGAGTTATTTTATTTCTTCCTCTCGATAGCGGGCAGAAGGTCGGGGAGACACTGTTACTCTCATTTTACGATGAGTGGAACTAGTTTGGGAGGGTTCAGTATCTTGCCCCAGTTAGGGTGAGTGAGAACTTGCGCATCGTGTAAAACATGGAAGAGTTCTTTCTGAGGATTGTGTGTGTAGGAATTCCGGGGATTGGCTCCTGATGATGGCGAGGAGCGCCTGCATCCCTGACTTCCGCTGTCTTTCCGCCCTCCGGTGCAGGCATCCTAAGCCTCCTCCTCGGAGCGGCGGTGGTGATTCTCCACTACACTTGGCCCAGCGCTCTTCGCTCCTTTCTGGATCAAAGTGGCAACGACTGTATCAGTCAGGCGAAAGGGAAATCGCTTCTCATCTTGGACAACCCGCAACACAAGCAGTTCGAGAGCCCAGACTTAAATATTACCACTGTCCTGTGAAGAGAACTAACTCCGGATTCCTACCTCCTTGGGATCCCGCAGACCTGAAGACAGTGTTAAGGGCGCGCCCGGAGCTCAGCTGAGTCTAGGGGACTGCACGACCACGCAGGAGGACGAGGGGGCGCTCTGGACGTGCCCTTTGCTCTAGGGAATGATTTCTTGAAGAGCTGTAAATAAACTTTTGTTTTGTTTTGCCTTTTTCAAAATTCCCCCGCCTATCCATTTCCTTGATGTCTCTTGGCCTTTGGAGCCACAAACTCTTGAGAGCTTTGCTAGGCTAGTGATAATGTAGTATTGTTTATTCAAGAGCTGAAAAAGCAGAGAAACACAGAAGGGATCTGGGAGAGGTGCGCCCTCTAGTGAAGACCGAGAGGAATTGACAGGCGCCTGCATCTTCGGGAGCTGCCCCACAGGGTGGTTATAATGCCCACATCTCTCTCTACTGGCCAAACTGAATCTACTGGGAAAAAAATTAAGATTTTGGCGTTGATTCCGTAATTCTTCCCACTTGACTTCTTTTGTTTTTGTACCTGAGAGCTAAAAGAGAAATTAACAAGGCATAAAAATATAAATCCTGGGAGTCTGGAGAGATGGTTCAGTGGTAGAGGGTACTGGGGTTGGAGTACTATACCCACATAGTGACTCCAGCTCCAGGGGATCTCTGCAACGCCCTCTCCTGGCCTCTTCAGGCACTGCATGCAAGTGGTGCACAGACATACATGCAGGCAAAATACTCATACACATTATATACATCGTGGGATTTTTTTCCCCAAAGGTTCTTCCCAAGTCCCAGAATCTTACACAGCATATGTGGGAACTAAAGCTCAAAGAGAAAGTGGCTCACAACTGGTAAGTGTTAGATCTGGGACAAGATGTTTGGTCTCCTTCCAGTGCAGGCTCAGAGGTCACATAAGCTGTGAGAGCAATCGAAAAAGAAAGGAGAGGGACCCAGGCCCTCAAAACAAAGTGATGGATGCTGAGGGACCACTTTGATGCCCAAAATGTTGGTTCTGAGAGGGAGGTTGACCTTGAAGAGGCAAAGCATCCAAGAAGGTGGTGTTTGCGCAGAGACTCATCCCTGCTGTCTTGCAAAACAGCAGTGATTATAGGCACGGTTGACATCTCTTCAGAACCTTGGGACTTTTGCTCTATTTTTCAAATTGGAGTTGGGTGTCTGACACACCCAAGACCACCTCCTGGGCTGTTCTGGTGGTTTATGGAGGCTCCGGTGAGGTCTGGAGCCCATCTGGAAACTCAGGTGACCACCAGTAGAGGAACATCACAGGGCACAGTCAGACGGTTTGATGTGTTCTTCCTTGAAACATGTTTCAGAGGAAGCTTCTGACATGGGAATGTCCTGGGTCTCAGGACTCTCAGCCATGGACCTGTAACGGGGGCTCAGGAGTCCCCCTTCCTCAGAACCCCACTCCAGCACTGAGTCCTCGGCACTCTGGTTGAAGAAAGCCTTCAGTCTGTGAGGCTGCATCCTGTGGGCCACTGCCATGGCTAGGCCAAGCAGAATACACAACAGTCCTGAGGATGAAGAGGACATGTGTCTGCCTTAGTTCTAGTACATCCTTCCAAGAACAGCACCTCCGAACATCGGAAAAACTCTCTAAGGGAGGTCTGGGTCCCTGCCTCAGGGTAACTGGAATTCATAGATCTCACTGAATGTCCTCGGGTCTGTATGGCTGGTATGGGTCTACTGTCCTGAACTTTCATACTCTAAACTGAGACACAGAGAGAAGTAGACAGCCTGAGACTAGGGACAGATGGGGACAAAAGATGGAGGCATGACGATGACATGGGTGGGGTAGACACGGCACGGCAGGAGAGTGCCGCTGTGAGCCAGGTTGATTTAGGGCATTTGGGGGTCGTGTGAGCTGGGGACATACAAGGGATCTAGGAAAAGATGAGAACTGTGGTTAGGGGATGCAGGACGGGACACACAACTGGAAGATTTGGAGAACATGAGTAAAGAGAGTTAGGGGATGATGGATGTGACCGAGATGATACAGGGAAGTGAGCCTGGATGAGGAGAGAAAATGGCCTTGGAGAGAGAAAGCCAGGAGGTGAGGGCGTTAAGAAGGATGGGGCTCTAAACAAGGCACAGACGTCTTGACCTCTAGAAGTGGATCCACTCCGCCAACATGATAGTCCCTGCCCTCCATTCTCAGCCCTTACCTTTAGGGGAGGGTCTCACCTGTGGCCAAGGTGATCCAGAAAGCAGGCCCATGGTGAGTGTGCAGCACAGCGGTGCCCAAGCGCAGCGAACAGGGCGATATGAATGATGTGGCCATGGAGAAGAAGAAGAGTGCCAACAGCTGGAAGAGGCCAGTAGCCAGCAGCATGTGGCCACCATAAATCAGCACCGGCATAGACAACATCACATTGGCCAGCAGCCAGCAGAGGAATGCCACCCTGGAGAGCCAAGATGCAGTGAGGACTGGCCCAGGCACCTCTACCTGCCAGCGAGGATGGGATGGTCCAGGTAGAGGCTGTTCCAAGGGGCACTCTTGCCTGTGGCTTCCCAACCAAGAACTAAGGTTATTGCCAGCTCCCCCCACTCCCACTCAGGATACCCCCTTGAGTGGAAACGAGATGGCTACAAAAAAAAATCTATTCCTGAGTTTAGGCCAGTAGGGGCTGTCCCATCCCATATCCATGCTCACCACAGCATGGCTGAGGCATAGTGTCCTGCCAGGCGGTACTGGTTGTACAGCCCACATGGGCTTTGAGGGGTAAACTTCTCAGCCAGGTAGAGCACCGGGTCTGGAAGGCCCCGCTCCAGCGCCTTTGTGTACTCCTCTGCGTAACTCCCTCCCAAGCGCCACAGGAACTCCTCATTGTAGTTGATGGTTTCGTTCAGCTGCTGCACTGGGGTCCCTGGGGAATAGGGTGGCTGTGCTTAGCAGGAAACCGAGAACTGGGCTGGACCATTCACCTGGGTATGGGGTTCGTCCACACGGGGCAAAGGGCCAAGAGCCGACAGAGGAGATAGTTCTGAATTTCCCTTCCCCCTCAGCTCCTACCCTTCCAAGCTCCAGTGCTGGGCACACATGGTAGCTCCTTACACACAAGATGCATCTCCAAGACACCGAGGAGAGCCTTCCCTTCTCCCCAAGTTAGAGCCCTCACCTGTGAGTGTGATGTTGACTCCTCCGAGCCCGATCTGCAGTCCCACATCCACGGTGACCCAGTTGGGACTGAAGGCTTTGTATGTCGTGTTGGTGTTGATTTGACCCACAGACCACTCCGAACTGAAATTCACAGCTGGGATTGGGGAGTTGCAACTCAGGAAGGTCTGGGCCTTGCTGGGTTAGTCAGAAGGAAAGCTACAGGGGTTCCATGCCTGAACTTGTTGTAATTGTACATCCATTTACTAGCCCAGGCCTGGCTCCTATTAAGCCTGCCAACCACTATTGTGGGATGAAGAAAAGGGTCAGAATCTAAAATTTTCCATGCTCACACGCTGCTTATCCTCCCCGTCCCACTTATGGGCAGCCGCTCATGCAACTGGTAAGGTAACATTAGCATAGACCACGATGGGCAAACACAGACAACCTCAATAAAAACGGTCTGTGTTTCCCATTCTCCGAATCACTGGACCCAGCAAACAACCCTCCCCCAGAGTCCCCCTGCCTACATTCATTAGGACCCAAATAAAAATAGTAGGAAGATGCTTTCCTTGGTCCACACCTTTCAGGGCAAGGGCAAGAATAAGAGGCTAAAACTATGGTGACATGTGCGGTTGGATCTGGAAGGCACCCTGAATCCGTGACCACTAGGGAGCCACAGAAAGAAGAGAGGCAGTCCACAAAGGAAAAGGCACAAGACAGAGGCCGCTGCTCAAGTCTGTGGCATCTGGCACTCACCCAGGATCACAGCCCCGATGAATAAGCTGGTCACCACCCGCAGCATCCAGAACAGCCTCTGAGTCAGAAGAGGTGGGGCTTAGTAAGCCTAGCCTTCCTTCCCTGTACACCCTTCCTCCTCCTACCATGGGGAGGGGCGGGGCTTCTACCGCTGAGCCCACCTGGCCAATTAAGATCAGAGTGTCTGGCACAAAACCATTCATTCCCAAGCTTTTGGTTCAGGGAGTGGGGAACTTTGCACGGGGGGGGGGGGGGGGGGGGGGGGGGGGGGTGGCGGAGAGGCGTTCTCAGCACTGGACTTCCTGGACTTCTCACTCCTGAAGCTGAAGTCCTCCCCAGGGCTGGAGTCTCCAGGGCTGGGTTTGTTTCTTACCGTCTTCCCACGGATGCCAGGCAGGATGATGATAAAGGTGACCAGTGCAGTCAGGAAGATGGTGATTATAACGGCCAAAGCTGTGTCCATTGGGAAGGTTGGCTTGGTGCCAGTGTAGAAGGGCAGGGTGTATCCAAGAGCAGCCATTTTGTTGGGGGGCGTGCAGAGGTGGTGACGCTGCAACAATAGGCATTCGCTGAGGAGTGTCCTCTGTGGGCCCAACACTAACTGTGGGGCGGCGGGGGGGGGGGCGTGCGGGGGGGGGGGGGGGCGGGGGGGGGGGGCGGGGGGGGGGGGGGGGGGGGGGGGGGGGGGGGGGGGGGGGGGGGGGGTGCTTCAAAGAATAAGCAGACCCGGGTCTGTCGTCTCTGAGTTTTTGTGTGTGCGCTCTGATCTTCAGCACCATTACTGGTATTCACTGCCTTTTAGCCATCCATCGCCCCATCTTTTGACTGTGATAGATTTATGGTCTTGACAGTCGGTATCTGCTGCCCGTGGTCCTAACCACTCAGCCCTCTAAATAAGTACCATCATTACCTTTGGGCCCTTTCTGTTTCTTCTGAGAATATCTAAAGGAAAAAAAAAACCCTCTTTTTTATTCTCCCCAGACTCTAGTACAGGCAGATCACAGAACATAAAAAGAACTGCATTTACTATCAAACAAAGCCATAAGGGTAGGAGATGGTGCAGACGGCTTACGGAAAGATTGCCTTTCTTCTTCGGTCTCCAAAGGAACAAAGGCCAAAAAGCTTCTAAGTGTACAGTCCGAGTTTATCACTAGAGCTTAAGCATCCTAGCTCCTGGGACTGGTGAGTGCAGAACAGCCTGACTAGGCACTGCAGGAATCCCTGCTCGCTGCCAGGCACAGGGCTGGGACCAGAGGTCCTACTATTCCACACATCACCAACATAGGCCCCCTTCTGTCCATCACATCCATCCCCCACGCGGTTCTTCAACTCAGATACTGGCTTTGGTCTTCTCTGCCTTCTTGCCTGATTGATCTTAGATCTTGTTTGACTCTTGTTTGTCCCTTTATACACAGGCCATCAGTAAAATTATACCTGGTCATTTCATCAGCTTTTAAACAGCCATTGTGATAAGATGTACCCCAACTTCAGAGATAGCAAGAGCAGGGTTGAAGAAAGAACCTTAGAGCCACTGTCCCAGTTCTGCTCATTCTCCCAAGTGTGAGCTGCACCAGGGACTCACATGATCAGGAGGACCCATAATTTAATCTGAGCAGGGAGATTGTTAAGTGGGAAGGTAAAGAAAGCAGTTTTGGAGTCAAAGGGTTTGCATTCTGCTTCTGTCTTTAGCAACTTCACCTCTATGTAGTTTTATTGGTGGGAAGAAAACAGAAATAATAAAGTTTACTTCAGAGAGTCATTATGGGGATGGAATGAGACCGGACACGGAAAGTGCAAAGAATGCTCTCAGAGACAAACAGGGACTTCTCTGCTGTTCTGTCCTCATTCTGGGTTCTTTGCATTTTAGCTTTGCCACCGTCAAAGACGCCTGATGAACAAGCTATCATACCCTCGGAGAATTTCCTGAAATTGTCCTTCGCTACTGTTCTGTTGATTTTAGTCTCATCCTCTCTTGCCTGCCTGGTGCAAGAAAAAACATTTTCTAATAAGCAGATGTAATCGTTTCACTTCTTTGCCCTGGGTAAAATCTACTTTTCTCACATAGAAAGTGCTTCGTGAGCAGCGCCCTTTCCTCCCCTCCCCATGGCTGACATGCTTCCGAACATTCTTGCCTTTGTGTGTGCTGTTCCCTCTACCTGGACTGTTCCAGCCTTGGCAAATGCCTTTCCCCACTTCAAATCTCAGCTCGCTTTACCTTCTCTGTGGAGTTCCCTCTAACGCCACTGGACCAATGGGAAGGTTTCCCACTCTCCCATTCCCGGTGTTTTGAATGTATCTCATGGTCCCAATGATGACTGTACTCCATCACTCTAAACATTTGTCTCCGCTTTAGACAGAGACTTGAGGGCAGAGATTTAATCTTCCCATCTTTGCATCGTCTTCATATAGCACATTCTAATCAAACTCTGGATCAAATTAATGAATATGTGAGTTCATCCCATGGGCATCTCCTTCTGAGTCTTCGCACAAGAGGGGGCTCTGTCCCCTCGTTACCCACACTGTCCTCTCACTCACGTTCACTGAGGGCCACCAACTCAACGCTGCACCAGAAGGGGTCTGGTGAACCTGATCTGCATTTAGTGATCTCAAAAAACCTGTCTAGAAGTCCTCTTCCAATAGCTAGAGTCTCTAAGAACAGTAAAGACAAAACCACAAACATCTGTATTTAGTTGAACACGAAGCATGCATTGTAAGATCAGCCAAAAATGTATAGATAAGGGGCTGGAAAGATGGCTCGGAGGTTAATTAAGAGCACTCTTGCTGCTCTTTGCAGAGGACCTGGATTCAATTCCCAACCACCACATAGCAGCTCACGACTGTGTGTAACTCCAGGTCCAGGGAATCTAATGCCCTCTTCTGGCCTCTGCAGGTAACAGTCATGTACATGGTGCACTGACATTTTTACCTGCAAAACACTCGTACACATAATTTTTAAAAATAAAATAGAACCTTTTTTTAAAAAATAAAATAACTAACTGTAACATTTTATTTTTAAATGTTTGTGTTTATTAGTTCATGCATATGTATGTGTGTGTGTGTGTGTGTGTGTGTGTGTGTGTGAGTGACTTCCCACAGCAGGCATTTAGAAACAAGAGGACATCTCTGTGGAGTTGGTGGTATCCTCCCACCTTTATGTGAGTTCTGAAGCTTTTAACTCAGCTTGTCAGGCATAGCCGGCAAGTGCCTTTACTGGATGAGCTGTCTGGCTGGCCTAGTGACATTTATTGTAAAGCATATGTTTTTTTGTTGTAGTGAATTTTTATTTATGATGCCAAAACTGAAACCATTTCTAAGAAAGTCTATACAGGAAGAAGGGCTATACAATGTAGAAGGCCTTAGGTCTTAGGATAGCCAGGCGGTGGCACACTCCTTTAATCCTAGTGCTTGGGAGGCAATTCTGATCTACGCAGTGAGTTCAAGGCAATCCAAGGTTATATGATAATGATGATGATGATGATGATGATGAGAAGAAGTAGAGGGAAGGGAGAAGAGGAGAAAAAAGGAAGACATGAATTAAGATAAAGTGAGATTGTTCATAGAAAGAAGTCATATTAGATCCAGTGAGGCAGATGGGGGGGGGGGGCTTGCTGCCAAGCCTGAAAATCTGAGTTTGATCCCTGGAAGCCACGTGGTGGAAGGAGAGAGCTGATTTCTGAAAGTTGTCTTCTGGTGTCCCCATTAGGATGCATGCATGCATACACACACACACACAGACCCCTCCCCACGAATGTGAAAAATGAAAAAGAACCCATATTATATGACTGAGTTCCAACAGCAGACACTTGCAATGTGAAGGAGATATTAACTAACGCAATGCATCTTGGTCGGGATCACACACACTTAGTATTTCTGCGCTTATTTTAATGAGAGGTTATGAAAGTTTTGTGAGCATGGCTCATCTCTATTAACACGATGCGTCAAAGAAACACTCACAAAAGGTTTTTTATCTCAGGTACAGAAGGACATTGTTAACATTTCCGATTCTTCAAAATATGTATTAAGGATGACTAGAGCGAATGATTGCCAGTGACGGCAATTTGCCTTGCGTGGTCCCTTCCACTGGTCATGCAGTTTCATGGCGTGGATACTCCTTACTCTGCACTGTCTGATGTAGTGGAGTTGAATTTTTATGACTGATCCTAATTTGGTTTCATTATTATGCAAATGGGGTTCCTGCATGAAGAGATTGACTGATTTTTTTTTTTTTTTAAAGGCTGCAGGACTCCGCTTTTTCCACAAAGCCTGTGTTTCTCTTGGGACCATCTTTCTCTCCCAGGCTTGACAAATAAAGTCTGGCAACAGAATTGGCTCTAATCTAGAAAAATCTCACATCAATGTTAACTTTACCCTCTGGCCTCTCAGCTCGCTGCCATGACATACAGTCTATACGGACACACATAAGACTGTCAAATACATACCTACAGACTTACATAACCACAGACAGACAGACAGACAGACAGACTCTGTTGTGCTCTAACTAGACACCTATAGTTCTTCACAGGGACCCCCGAGATGACTTGGTGCTTTCTCACTGAGAAGGCCCAATTTCTTCACTTTGGGGTTCTGTTTTCTCATGAGGCCTGGAGGGTAGCCTGTAAATACTAAAGGCTTCCCCATGTTCACTAGTATTTCCGATGTAGTCATCCAGTCCTTTCCTATCAAGATGAAGTGGATTTCCAGTGTTTCTATGCTGGGTGGGTAGAGATAAAGTTAACAGTCTTGAAGAAAACCCAGCCTAGTAATACCCAGTTTCATCACTCAAAGTCAACGGGATTCCGGAACCTCTGTTGAAGCTTGACAAGAGAGGTTCCCAAAACCTTCCTCTGACCCCCCCCCCCGCTCCCAGCAGAGTAAGGACTGCTAGCCCCCATGAAGGCAGCTTAGGTGACATGTCTAATCACGACAAGCACTCTGATGGGTGATGAATTTATTTCTTATTTCTCTGGCTGAAGTAAAACCCATGAGAAGTTTAGCTTGGGTGGCTAAAGGGAGTCGTTTTCAGGAATGCCTAGTCCTCCTTCGTAAGGAAGGTAGAGGTGTGTGTGTGTGTGTGTGTGTGTGTGTGTGAGAGAGAGAGAGAGAGAGAGAGAGAGAGAGAGAGAGAGAGAGAGAGAGAGAGAGAGAGATTCCCCATTGATGGATGGTAATGGACTCAGGGATGGGCAACTGAGCAATCCGACCTACCCAAACTCCAGTTAAGAGAAATAAAGATTCAGTGTCGACAAATCATGTGACTTTATAGCCTTAAGAAGTTTGCCTTGTCTTAATTTCTTGTTAAGACTTTTATCCTTCACACCCCCCACCTCTGAATTGGTCTGTGTAGACCCAAGAAGTACGCCCCTAGGGGTCGGTGCTGGAGCAGCACTTCAAGGTCTGATGCCTGGAAACCGCGATAGACCCCGCTACCCACACGCGATCCACGGTTCCCTACCTTCCTCTCTTTCAGATACTGTGCGTGGCACCCGCGCTCTGCTTCTCCGTTGGGAACTCACTCGCAATGCTCCTAGTCGTGGGGATAAGGCCGGAATCAGGTCCAGACGTTGACGTCTTGTCACCAAAACTATACACTTCAGCCCATCAAGGTCCCGTCCAACCTCCCATTCTTCTAACTCAAATGCAGACCAGATTATGACCCCATAAACTCAGCCTGGTGCTTTTGCCGCCTTCCATTGCAAGTCATTTTCAAGTTTCTCGTCCCTGGCACCCCGCCCTCGGACACCGGACGACCCGGGTGCTAGGACAGTGCACAGGCGCCTGGGCCCTGTGCAGCCACCCCCGCCCCGGAGACCTCCTAGTCCCTACCCACGCCAGCGCCCTTGGCAGCTGCAACGCAAACCTAGCGACCAGGCTCGCAGGACGGTGAAACCTGGGAGGTTCCCACCAGGAACCCTGGTTACCCAGACTTACAGGTTTTGGGGACAGATGGATGCCTTGCTTTGGAGCCAGGTCTGATCTGGAAGTGGTTATGGGAAGATTATCTTTGTTTTAGAACCCTGACACCGACTGTGTGGCGAGGATCTGGGGACAGCCCGCCTGCCCCACACCCTCTCGGGTCTCCCACCCCTCGCCTCAGCCCCCTCCAACTTGTTAAGGGAGACTTGCCTTTCCCGCCTCCCACATGGCCACACTGCCAGAACCCTTGGCACCGCAGGAGCCCTGCACCCCACATGGTCTCACCTTTCACGCTCGGGTCCCCTAGGAGCACCTCGGCGGGTCCCCGCGCCAGCCTCTATCCCGCCCAACTGTGCCCCGCCCCAGCGCCAGGACGCGCTACCCGTTCTTCAGCCCCAGCCCCGCCCGCCCCGGCTCAGAGTTGAAGAGGCAGCCAGGACCGAGTGGGCTACCGCGAACCCGGAGCCAGGCCGGAGCCAATCATAGTCCCAGACTGGGGGACCAGAGGCCAAGGTCAGATTCAAGAGCGTTTCTCCTGACCCGCGGGAATGGGTGCTCCAAGGGAGGGGGCTCCAAGGGCGGGGACGGAGGGAAAAGGAACACCGGTCGGTGGCCCTCCTCTCCGCAAAACGGGAATCGGAGCCTCGTGTACCTCCAATCCTTCCCCGAGGCTGAAAGGGATCTCGCTAAGGCTTGAGCTCAGCACGCTGAGGTTTTGAAAAAACAGGGTCATCTGGTCCTGAGCATGTTGAATGACCTAGTTTGTTTGGGCCTAAAGGATTTCTTGGCGCCATCACGTCATGCCAAGGAGGGACTTTAGGGTCTTTAGTATACATACGGCCGTTACTTCCTGCTCTTCATCTTCCAAGTTGGAATAGATCTTAACTCATCTTTCTCTTACTCTCACCCCGGGGCCAATAGAATCACCATTTTCAGACTGTGGTCTGGAAACACAGCCATGCGGACAAGAACGAGGCAGGCTGGTACTCTCCCTGATTCTGCCACTGCCTGGAGCTCCATTGCCCTGAAGTTGTGCCTTCGGTTTCCAAATTGTTTGGGAAGTTACCACGCCCAAGTGTCTTGTGTAAATTGCGGAGGGTTACCTACCCACGGAGAGGTTTTCAGCGTGGCCACTCTTCCTTTCTAGTTTGGCCCCACAGTCTGGCCCGAAATCCCACGGGGCCGTTAGAGCTTGACTGCTATGTCTACCACATTAGAAAGGGAAAGAGGTCGGACTATTTGGATTAGGGAAACAACCATAGCCAGTCACTCCACCACATCCAGTTCAAGGCTTCAACTATCCAGAGCCCAGCTCTTTGAACATTACCGAAGGCCACACCCTGAAGAATCTCTAGGATAGAGGGGATGCTGAGTTGAGGGATGAGGCAGGATCTAGGTTTTTTTTTTCGCTTGTTTAGTAGGAGATGGAGAGGGGACAAGGCCACTCGCAGGCTTCTCTCCTTTGACTGGAGAGCCTGTTCAGGGGTTCTGGCTGAAGATGGGGCCTTCCCTGAGCACAGGACTTTCACCCTCCCCTCCCCCTCCAATCTTCAGGTTGTCCTTAGGACATCTTCAGTGAAATTTCACCAGAGGTGTCCTGGCTTGAGTCTCCTGCTGCCTCTGTTTCCCTGTTGGCGGGTGGAGGGAAAGCAGGCCCGGAACATAAGCAATGATGGGGCACTTCGCTTGAGTCTGCTCACAGCGGCCATGCTCCAGCCTCTCCACAGGAGAGCCATGCTCCAGCCTCTCCACAGGAGAGCCATGCTCCAGCCTCTCCACAGGAGAGCCATGCTCCAGCTTCATCACCACATCGGATGCCGGCTGCCGGCTGCCATGCAGGGAGACAAGCAGCTCAGGCACATCCCTGGCCAGGACGGTGCAATCAGATGAATGTTTTCCTTCAGATCCCACAGAGGATGAGCAGCAGACCCGAGACCTCAGCAGGGTCTCTCTGCTCCCTCCTCCCAAGTTAGGCTCTGGCAGTGGAGCAAGACTGTGTGGGCAGCTGGACCAAAGCAAGGGTTTTCAACTACTCAGAAACAAAAGGCCACGGGAGCAAGGTTGGCTTTGCTTTGTTTATCACGTCGTCTCCAGAGCCTAGGCCAGTTCTGTGCACAATGTGTGCTCATCAGTTAATGGTTGGATGAGTGAGAGGCTTCAGAGAGAGTGAGGCGCTTGCTTTTAGCTGACCACGCCTCCTAGGTCCAACTCTCCAGCCTGGATTCTTTTTATTATTATTATTACTGATTTTATTGAGCTCTACATTTTTTCTCTGCTCCCCTCCCTGCCTCTCCCCTTCCCTTCAACCCTCTCCCATGGTTCCCATGCTCCCAATTTACTCAGGAGATCTTGTCTTTTTCTACTTCCCATGTAGATTAGATCTATGCAAGTCTCTCTTAGGATCCTCATTGTTGTCTAGGTTCTCTGGGATTGTGATTTATGGTCTGGTTTTATTTACTTTATGTTTAAAAACTACTTAGGAGTGAGTACATATATTAATTGTCTTCCTGGGTCTGGGCTACCTCACTCTATGATGTTTCCATCCATTTGCCTGCAAATTTCAAGATGCCGTTATTTTTTTCTGCTGTGTAGCACTCCATTGTGTAAATGTACCACATTTTCCTTATCCTTTCTTCAGTCAAGGGACATTTAGGTTGTTTCCAGGTTCTGCCCGGCCTGGATTCTTAGAGGTCTTGCAGAAGCCTTAGCCTGACTCTCACGAAGGCCTTGAGCTCATTCTTCTATCCTCTGTTTTTCTAGGTCTCTATTTTGAAGAATTCCAACACTTAATCCCTCATTACCATTTTCATCATGGGATCCTCCCTAGCTCTGGCCTGGATCCTCCTGGTTGGGACATTGGCCTGTTTGGGTGAGTACAGACTGGGGAAGAAGTGCGCATACGAGCAGAGAACTCATGTTCTCTGTCTTCTACAGAGATGTGTGCTATGGTTTCTACAACCTTAATCTCAAGAAGATATAATACACTGTACACGACAGGTTCTTGTTTCTAGCTGTTGAATAGGGAGATGACAGAATAAAAATGATTTCTTCTAGTATGAGGCCCTTTCTCTCTCCACTGTCTTCTATCCTTTTAGATAAGGTAAGTTCTCCTGGCTTGGCACAGGAAAGACTGAGTAGACATGTAAGACAATAAAGCATCTTAGGGTAAAACTGAACCCAAGGCTAAAGAGGAGTCACCAGTGTTTTTAAAATAAAATGCTCTTAGGCAGAAAATGTAACTCAGTGGTAGAGCTTTTGCCCAGCATATGTAAGGTCCTGGGTTTCATCCCCAGTGCTGGAGAAAAGCGCAAAATAAAACAATAACATCAGAACACAATACGGCCCAGAGCAATTCCAGCTTTGGAAGTCTGAGAACTTTAGCATTAGTGGCTGTTCCCTATAATCCAGAGCTTTGAAGAGGGAGCTGGGCCCACAGCGGTGGGAGGTAGGTGTGGTGGCACCTGGCAGCTATCCCGGCACTTTGGAGATAGAGGCACCAGCATCGAAGCAAGCAAGCAAGAGCAAACTTCAAAGGTGTTTTGCATCTTGGGGGTGATACATGAAGATGAACCCTGTAAACCTCCCGGCTGGCAGTGGCAAGAAAGTGATATGGACCCTACATTCTCCCGTGCCAAAGCTGCTCATGTTTGAGTTCTTTCCCATACTCTCCCCGTTCTTTGAGACTTCATTTTCTCTCCCAGCTATTGCCTCTTACCCCTAAGATAGACTCTCCCCGAGAGACTCCTTCCTTGGCCTACCACCTTTTCATCTTATTCTAGATGTCTTGTGTGAGTGACCTGCTGTCCTAGGTGTTTAGCCAGGTTCAAATATTAGAACTTTAGTTGTTTTCCTTCCTGATCCCTGCCCCCCCCCCTCAGTGAGTGTGCCTGTGTGTGCACCTGTGTGTGCATATAGCACCCACAGCTTGGAGATCTTACTCTTGGTCTAAGGACGATCAGAGATATTGATCATTGTTAGAGCCCTTTCTTCTGTTCTCTCGGGCGAGCAGAGAAGTCTTCTAAATTTTCTTGGAGACGGGGAGGGTTTGGCTAGTCTCCTGACCTACTGACCGAGAAGATTCTAGACCCTCCCTTTTTGTTCTGCTTCCTCAGTTTTCCCCCCGACCCCATCAGCCAAATGCTCCCTCCTGGACTGTAGGTCATCACAGTCGCATTATAAACAGGAATTAGAACTGGAATGGAGTGTCAGCAGTTAAGAACATTGGCTGCTCTTCCGAGGACCTGGATTCAGTTTCCAACATGGAAGCTCACAACTGTCCATAATGCTGATTCGAGGGATCAGTTGCCCTCTCCTGGCCTCTGTGGTCATCAGGCATGTGTGTAGTATGCAGACATTCATGCAGGCAAAACACCTAGACACACAAAATAAATAAATTAAAAGAAGAAGAAAAGGAGGAGGAGGGATGAAATGAGGGACAAGATGTTCCAAAGGAGGATGGGGCAAGGTCATTCACAGGATCAGTCCTTGGTCTCACCCAAGAAACTGGGAAAAAGACCAGAGTAGCAGTAACACACCCTGCCTTGGGGCTCTGCTCAGTGAGAAAGAGCCAAGTCCCTCTTCACACTGCTCCTGCCCAGTGACGGGTCACAGAATGACTTGTCCTTCCCAGTTACAGGGTGTGGCTGGCTCTTTTCCCTACTGGATCTGAGGGTTAGGGATGATTTTTGTCCTGCTGTGTCTCCCAAGGACTTGCAATAGGAGGAGTCCAAGCTTGTGTGGCCCCATCCTATTGCTTTGCGCTGCTCTGCCTCTCCTCTGAGGCCATGGCTAGCGGGTGCTGCATGGCCGTGCACCATTTTCCACTTTCGGAGTCAAGTCTTCCTGGCTTAAAGAGTAGACAGCACTTTGCCCTGGTTTCTCCCTCTGGGCCGTACTTTCTCCTCATCCTCTTTCAAGAATCAGAACCACAGGCCCTGTTCCCTCATTGCCTGCTTGGTCCCCTCTGCCTGCACCTGCCCAGCGGCCTCTTTCCCTTTCTTTTCACACAGGAGCTCAGAACTCCATTTCTTGGGAGGTACAGCGATTTGATGGATGGTATAACAACCTCATGGAGCACAGATGGGGCAGCAAAGGTAGGTGAGGGCAAAGTTAGTCTGGGCATCAAGGTGGTACCCTCCAGTGGAGACTGAGAGTTGGCAAGTATCACAAAAGGCTAGCGCAACTATCATCAGAGGCTGCCAATATCTAAGGCTTCAGGATTCAAGGTATGGAGGGAAGCCTGAGGAAGTAGAGGTCAAAAATGCTCCCTGGAGTGGAGAGATGGCTCAGTGATCAAGAGCACTAACTGCTACTCTTACAGAAGACCTGGGTTCAGTTCCCAGCACC